GTGGAGATGCAGATGAGGTACTGGTACTGAGAAAGAGGGAGTTGGGGGGACCCCATTTCCAAAGTCCTGAGCCCAGTGGGATCCGAGATACCTAGTCCAGGGAGCTTAGACTATGCGGAGTGTCATAGATCACGAGTGCAAATGGCCTCGAGTTCAGGACGGGGACGGGGACCCAGTGATGCGAACCCCCGAATTCTGGGAGTGTAGTGGTATTTCATCTTCTAGGCCCTGACTGGATGGGTCCTCGAAGGCCGGCCTCAGTTTCCCGTTTATTTCCCTCTCCTCTGACCAGCTCCAGAAACCCCGGAGCGGAGCTTCGAAAGCGGCCCCTCTCACCCACCCCATTACCAAAACTTAAGAGCTAGGCTGTGGGCCTCGGGAACTACAATTCCCAGAAAGCTGCACGGCAACGCCTTCGGCTCCGTAAACGGCGTCGGGAGCGTCGGGGGCGTGTCCTGTGCTCTGATTGGCCGGGAGCGGAGCCGCCGAAGGGCCCACGACAAACGCGCGGCTAGTTTGCGCCTGCAGACCTCTTTCCTGTGGCTGGTGGCGGCGGCCGAGGTGACATGGATCTCAGCGAGCTGGAGAGAGACGATACGGGCCGCTGTCGCCTGAACTCGCCTGTGCCCGCGGTGTGCCGCAAGGAACCCTGCGCCCTGGGTGTCGATGAAGCGGGCCGGGGCCCTGTGCTGGGTGCGCCCCCAGGGCCGGGGCGTGGGAGGAGCAGGATAAGGGGGATGCGAATTGTCCAGGAATGGGAGCCCGGATTGTACTGGATTCGGGGTGGGGGATGGTGATAGTGGTGATGGCACCGAAAAAATCGGTGATGATGAAACAGGGATAGCGGCTTTCACGGGCTCACTGGTTGGACCCCCACTTTCCCCAGGCCCCATGGTCTACGCCATCTGTTATTGCCCCCTGTCGCGCCTAACAGATCTGGAGGCCCTGAAAGTGGCAGGTGAGCCCGAGGTGTACGTCTGGGAAAGGGGTTCCTGGAAATGTGCAGGGGTGGGTGCAAACTGGAGAGAGACAGAGAGCAGGAGTTGGAAGAACCAGCCACTCTCCTTCTCTCCCACCTCCCAGACTCAAAGACCCTGTCGGAGAGCGAGCGGGACAGGCTGTTTGCGAAAATGGAGGAGGACGGGGACTTTGTGGGCTGGGCACTGGACGTGCTGTCTCCGAACCTCATCTCTACCAGCATGCTTGGGCGGTGAGGGGTCCCCGGGGCGGGGTGGGGGTAGGTGCATGGTGGAGGGGCAGCCAGCATGGGCTGGAAGGGATCAGTGGCTGGAATGGGGTTGACTGGGCTCTGTCCCCCACTGCAGGGTCAAATACAACCTGAACTCCCTGTCCCATGATACAGCTGTTGGGCTGGTGCAGTATGCGTTGGACCAGGGCGTGAATGTCGCTCAGGTGAGCTAACTGTTGGGTTGCCCCCATTTGATCACCTCGGGATAAAATGGAGGTATGAGTGCAGTGGGCGATTCACTGTGAGACACATCTGTAGTACCTCATGAATATTTGTTACTGCTGTTGACTTCCTACTGCTTTTCCTACCCCAAATGTATGCCCCATTGAGGACCATAGGGGGGCCCCTAGCCCCACCCCCACCAATCTCTGTATTCTAAAGGTTCAGTGTCCAGAACAAATCACACGTCTGTCTGCCTGTCCTAGCCCAGGGCACCCTCACCTCCTGGACACCTGCCCCATCCTCTTCTGTGGTCCCCCCTCCCCTACACAGCAGCAGCAGATAGTCATCTTTTCGAAATGTAAATTTCAACATTCAATTTTCTGATCACAGTGAGAATTAAATTAGGAAAACTCAGAGTCACAGGGAGGAGAATGAGATTAAATTACAATATAGAAACAAGTTGGCATGGCATGAAGTGCTCTGAGGCAAAGAACGAGCTGTTTTGAGAAAATGACAAAGGCAAATACACTTGAAAAAAGGAATGGAACAAGGGAGGCCTTGCTGAGGAGGTGGCTGAGGTCCAGGGCTGGAATGTGAAGCTGGCGATGCAGTACTAGGGCAGACTGTCAAGGGCTCTGGCCTCAGGGGTTCGTGGCCATGTCAGGAGAGACGGATGGTAAGCTGGTAAGCAAATAAAGGTGATTTCTGAGAACAATAACTGCTATGGAGCTCACTTTCCCTGTTAACTTCCCTGACCTCTTCTCTCTGCTCTAGCCATGGGGCCTCCCTACTGCTGTGCAGCATATTGGACACGATCCCACCTCAGGGCCTTTGCATTGGCTGTTTCCTTTGCCTAGAACACTTTTCCAGATCTCCAAATGGCTCGTTCCCTCATCTCTTGCAAGCCTTTATTCAGATGTCACCACCTCAGAATGACCTGCCCTGGGGCCGGCCGAGTGGCGCGATGGTTAAGAACTCGCTTGGGATGCCAGAGGGCCCCGGTTCGGATCCCACATACGAGGGCCAGTAACACTGCCCTCTACAGCTAAGATGCTGAACAACAGCTCAACCTGGACCTGGGCTGCCTATGAGTCGCCTGCGA